ACTACTGCCAAAACAATCTTGCTCCCAAGGTTGAATTTTGAAAATTGATCTTTAATGGTAGAAGTGTTTTCCCTCGTGCCAGTCTTTTCTATATTCTTGAACACAGTTCAATGAAATCATGTTCATGGGAAACTGGAGAGAAGGCTTTGCTACTTGCAAAAATTGCTCTAATCTCAGTTGCAATTTCCTTGCCAACTCTATCATCAATGAATATAGATCCAACAATAAACTCAACTTCAACATGTTCTTTACCCTGGTACATTCTAAAAGTTTGGTATATCCATGAATCAATCTGTTGATGCACTTCATGCACAATTGGTGCTCAAAAAACTATAAGAGGTGTTAAACAAGAGGAGACTTCTTGTTGGAATTGCTGGGAGATGGTAAACCGTCAAGTCTAAAAGTATGTGCTGTAGAAATCTGACCAATTCCATCAAATCCATTGTTGGCGTAAGATTTATGTGTGCTCTATTGAATCTTCGACCTTGCTTCTGGTGGTATATTCATTAAGTTTCCCTTCCTTCACAGAATAAGTTAATTGTTCTAGACTCATTGTCATTATCTCAAATAAGAGGATTATAATCAACAAGTACCAGGTTTTTCCCATTGGAAAAGTCTACTTTTCCCGTTTTTCTCTATTGAACAAGCAAGAGATTCAGATACTACATCATGATGTTGAGCCATAGTCACAACTTCAGCCAAAGAGTCTGCTTTTGGACCTATGTCATTCTTACCTTTAAAATACTCAAACTGCCTTTTGCCAACAAATCTTTTACTCATAACAGTTGTCAACTCCTCCCAAGATGGATTCATGGTCTTTTGGCGCCAGAACTTGAACTAGTGACTAGTGTTTCCCTCCAAGTTGTTATACGCCAGGTGGAAATCTTCCATTTAAGAGATGTTTTGTACCTCAGAATCTTTTACCTGAAGTTATCCCTCCTAAAGGACCAATTCCCACAAACATTGACAACTCCAACCTTTTAACCCAAGGGTGAATTGGTTCTTCTTCCACTTTATTAAAAGCATTATTGTCCTTGTTCTCCTAATCATAGTTGTTATTCGGGACTGATTGTTCTTCCTTCTTCTCTTCTACATCGGTCGAATTCTACCACCCATTCGGACCCCTTTTCATTCTTCTTGATAACTTTAAGCAATTCTTTAAGTTCTTTCATATTTTGTATTGAAGATCCCATATTAACAAGAGATAATATTAATGTATACTCTACAAAAATAATATAATTTAATAGGGGTTTATTGCCGGCTTTTTTTAAAAACTCCTTAAATTCCCGGCGGTTTTGTTAAAACCGCCTTAAATTCCCAGCTATTTTGTTAAAACCACCTTAAATTCCCGACGGTTTTGTTAAAGCAAATCATATCTGGAAAGATTTTTGTTAAAGCAACAAATAATACTTTAGCATGGGTAGTGTATGATTGGCCTACAACAATTTTGTTCGTCTTTTTTCCTTCCCTTTATTCTTTCCATTGTTCGAAAGTTCTGCATGATTCTTGTCTAGCTAATTATCAGGCTCAACTACATGCTAGCATATTCTTGGTGGGATTTTATGTTAAATCATTTCTATTCTACTGCTTATGATTAGTTGTTTTCACCCTACCTGTCAAGGGGTGGCCAATGGGATTGTCTCAATTTTTAGTTTTAAAGTCAAGGGTGGCCAATGGCAACAAATTTAAGAAGTAATGTTAGAATCATCAATGTCATGCAGACTTGACCCTAAGCTTTCTCATGAAACCTGTATTGCTTTCCATGAATTGCTTATATCAATTGTTGTTGTTAAATCCTGATTCAGATCTTGAGTTGTATTGGTGGCAGGATTGTAATTTCGTGAGATTCAGAATCTTGCCCTTTATATTTCTAAAGAGAAAGTTATCTGACCAATTATGAGTGGTATTGGATTTTGAGCTTATGAATTTTTAATTCTAGTTCAATGATAAGAAGAATTATGTGAGACATCATTTGATTATTGTCTATGATTACAGAATGCATATGTAAATGGTTCAGTCTTGATCATATGGTTTAGGCAGCTAGAAGAAATGTGGAAATTATCTCATGTGAGAGTAAATATTTTATATGCTTGTTTTTTCTTAATAGAAGTGGAATTTAATTTAACATATTGCCTACTTATGCAGCTGGTTATCTTCACATAATCAATCAAATGAAAGAGCTCATAACTGGCAAGAAGGCCTATTTGGTTATGGGAAATCCACCTGATAAACTTTCCTGAGGTGAAATTTACTACATCCGTAGTATATATTTCAGTCTATCTTTTTGTAAAAACTTTCTAAAATTAATATATTAACAATTAGAAAATTATTTTCTCACTGATATATATATATATATATATATATATATATACTTTATTTTATCATATTTTCTCATTGATATAGATATTTTATGATATTTTTCTCATTTGAATAAAGTTATTGTTATTTTACTTAGGAGTGGAACATATATTGATCATTTTGTCTTAATAAAGTTAATGCATATCATTAATATATTAACAATTAACTATTATTTTATTTTTATATTGTAGGTATCTGTTCAAAGTGTACCAAATGATGAAGGCAATGAAAAACAACAAAATTGATAATTGTAATTTAGAAAATGTTTATTTTAATTTTTAAGATTCAACATGTTATTTCTTAAGTTGAATAATTAATTGTATTTTTAACATTTACTAGTACAAGCCAAAAGATGGCTAATTATTTTCTCAATGCACAGAAAAAGAATTTCATAAAAATGTAAGAATTGTTATCCAACTTGATGCACAAAAGAGTAGCATAAATATTACAAATTACCGTGCACATTGGTTTCTTTCGTTCGGTCAAAACCAATAAATCCAGTCAACAGAAACTAGTCCACATGCCTTAGGGAAAACTCAATACTTTCCCTAAATGATCAAATCTTTAATGAAAGAAACAATTGGAGTACAAGAACAAATGGGGAATCAATTCAATTTTTCACTGCAATATATTACATTAGTGGTTCCCTTCTATTAATTAAAAAATTGTCATGTTGATTTCAGAAATGTTCTTGTTGAGAAAAAAAAATTAAGTCTCACTTTAGTTAGAGATAATGTCAAAATACACTATATAAGTGGGGGAAATCCTTACCTATTAAGTTGGTTGAGTTAAGTCGAAAATCACTTTGGAAGATGTCAATTAAAAGAGTTACTTGTATTATCCATGTACGAACGTTTCATGTTTTTTTTTTTATTATTATTACCGGTCTGAGCATAAACACCCATATACCATAGTATTTATTTCCAACTTTTGGAATAACCACGGATTCTCCAATTTGGTCTGAGCATAAACACCCATGTACGTACGTGCCTTTTGAAAATTCAAGTTACCATTACTTAAGATTGGAAAGGGTGTGAAAAAGGTATTGTACTTGAACACAGGTGCCTAGGCATTCTGCTTCAAAAGGTTAACGAAAGAGCTTATGTCCGTGATAAAATAGATTGGATGTACAAGCAGGCAAACATTGCAATTCCAACAAACAGACTTGGATTGGCAAAAGCAATGGGATTGGTGATTTAATCTTTTTATTTTATTTAGTTTATTTATTTTGATCTTGTTGGATTCATTTTCCTTTCCTATTGCTTCTTAAACATACTTTCTATTTATTAAGGTTGCTGCATCACACTTGGATACAGTATTGGACAAACTGAAAGATATTTTAGACAATGTTGGGCAAGGCATATTTCAGAGGTTTATGCCAGATTTTTAGGATTGAGTGTATACCGTTTTTCTTTTTCAAAATGTTATTTGATGAAGTTTTGATGTTCAGATCTTACTGCTACACTTGTGAATTGTTTTCATCCTCTTTTCTCTCCTTTATGTTTTGTTTTCATGTTTTTGATGTTTGCAGTTTAATATATATCACATTGGAATTCAAAACCTTAAGTTTTTTAATGATAGCTTATGAAATTGTTGCTCCTTGTATAATAATGTCAACTAAAACAGTAACTATGCTTTTATATCACCATAATATTGCTGGAATTTTTCTGTTTTTATTAGTAATTTAAATGGCATCAGAAACCGAGGAATCTATTTACATAGATCCTCTTTAGCAGGAAAAGAAAACTATAGAATGTTAATAGGATTTTAATCTCTTCAATGGTTTCTCTGTTTCCAACTCTTTTTATTCAATCACGTTATGCACATTTCCAAATGCCTTCTTGTTTTTCTCCCTTGTTTTTCTAGACTATGTAAAAGTCATTCATGTAGATAGTAGAGAAACTTTGTTGAGATGACTCCAGATCCCTTTTCTTTTGTAAATTAACCTAGGCTAGAGTTCTCCTTAGTGTCTTCCTTCAACCTCCTTCCTTTAGTGTTGGCTTAACCTCACTTAAGAGCTTCTCCTTCTTACCATCACCGAATCATATTTCTTTTATACATAGCTTCCACACAACCATTCCTCCATAGATTCCTATCTAAGCATGCACATAACAAATAGCTGGAAAATGGACTCATTACGAATGGTATGCAAAATTTAAAAATATGTGTTGTATCCAACCATACTCGTACCATACAACCTCTGACAACATGACAATCTATATTTGAGTGTCAAAGTTTTTTCTACAAGTAACTTTTGTGTCCAAAACCAAGTGAAGGAAGAATTGAACCGAGATCATTAGCCATAAGAGAAGTAGTTAGGACCTAATAAGAGGAAGTAAATTAAAGGTCTTGTAGGATTATTTTAATATTGTAAGAACAGAAAAACTAAAAGTTTTCTTTATTATAATTACAAAAATTATGATTAGGGTAATTATGAATGTTTTAATATTCTACATCTATATAAAATATTTTATAATATTTTTTAGGTTTAATGTCTCATTAGGTTCCTATTTTCGTCAAGAATCTCAAATAGGGACCTTGCTTTTTTGGCGTCTCAATTGGGTCCTTTTTTTTATAAAATTGATGCAAATAAAGGTTTTTCGTTAAATTCATCAAACGACGTTAAGGAGTGCATCACGTGGCAAGCTGACAGTGTAGTTTTAATATATGTGTAATTAAAAACGTGTGTGAATTCTATTTTTTTAAATGTTGAATTAAAAAATTAATTAAACAGAGTGGAAATATAAATTAAAAAAGGGCAAAGTTGGTAAATCGTATTCTACTTTCTACTGAAAGTCACATTCTTTCTGCAATTGCAAAATCAAAATGAAATTGGGGAAATTTGAGTTTTAGAGCTCGTCAGTCATCCACAAAATTGTTGTCCTTCGAGTGGATTCGCGAGTGTTGGTGGGTGAAGAACATCGGGTTGAAATAACGGTGCATGTGCGATTGGAACAAGTTGAAGCACGAGGTGAACTGTGGGATCTTGTGTCGTTGGAAGCGCGAGACTGAAGCACGTGGTGAGTGGAGGTTAATCTGAAGGAAGGTCAGTTTTTGTGGTTTATTGTCTTACTTTTTATAGTTGGGAAAGTACAATATTCGGTTGTGGTCCCCCATGGTTTGGTTTGTGTTGTTGATTGCGTTTTGGTGGTCCCCTATGTATGTTTAAAGTTATTTGAGTCTGTGTGAGTGCATTTTGTTATTGTTTTAATATATTCTTTTTTGTCATCATATGTTTGCATAATAGGTGTGTGTAGATATATTGATATTGTGTTGTGCGTAATGGACGATGCTATTGTTTGGGTTTTCCACCATGGAGGGAAGTTCATTAATGATGATACCTTGAAGTATGAAGGGGAGACAATAACTTTGTCCTTTGACCTTGATATATGGAGTTATTTTGTGGTTGTTAGTGTGGTGAAAAGTTTTGAATATGATAATTTTAAACATTTATGGTACTGTGTAGGAGGGGGTTTAGTGTTGGAAAATAGGTTGGAAGAATTGATTGATGACACTGGTGCCATGCATATGGCTAACTTAGCTAGGCTTAATGGTGATATTCATTTATACATTGTGTATGTTGTTTCTGAGCCTGAAGTGCTAATGTTACTAATGATCAAGGAGAAGCTGAAGGTCATGGTGAAGTAGAAGAAGAGGGTGAAGAAGATGGTGACGGTGTTGAAGTAGATGGTGAAGTTGATGGTGACTTAAAAGGGGTGCATGAGGGTGAAGAAGATGGTGATGGTGTTCAATTAGATGGTGAAGTTGATGGTGACTTAGAAGAGGTGCATGAGGGGTCAAGAAGATGGTGATGTTGTTGAAGTAGATGGTGAAGTTGATGGTGACTTAGAAGGGGTGCATGAAGGTGAAGAAGATGGTGATGGTGTTCAATTAGATGGTGAAGTTGATGGTGACTTAGAAGAGGGCATGAGGGTGAAGAAGATGGTGATGTTGTTGAAGTAGATGGTGAAGTTGATGGTGACTTAGAATGGGTGGCTGAGGGTGAAAGAGATGGGTTGATGATGTTTCAATTAAATGGTGAAGTTATGGTGACTTAGAATATGTGCATGAGGGTCCGAAGATGTTGATGTTGTTGAGTAGATGGTGAGTTGATGGTGCACATAGAAGTGGTTGCAAAATAATGAGGGTGAAGACGATGGTGATGGTGTTTAATTAGATGGTGAAGTTGATGATGAACTTAAAGAGGAGCATGAGGGTCAAGAAGATGGTGATGTTGTTGAAGTAGATGTCGATTGTGACTTAGAAGGGGTGCATGAGGGTGACGAGATGGTGAATGTGTTTCAATTAAAATGGTGAAGTTGATGGTGACTTAGAAGAGGTGCATGAGGGTCAAGAAGATGGTGATGTTGTTGAAATACAGGTTGAAGGTCATGGTCACGTACAAGAGTTGCATGAGGTTGAAGAAGATGTTCATGGTGTTGAAGTTGAAGTTCAAGTTGAAGGTCATGGTGACGAAGAGCAAGAGTTGAATGTGTGTGAAGGAGTTGTGGAGGATGAAGTTGGATCTTTGGTGGTTGAGTACATCTACTGATGAAGGTGAATGTACATGGAAATAATGAGTGCTTAGAGGGGCTAGTGGATGTGAGTGTTGAATGTGATATAGATGGTGAAATAAATGGTAATGTGGAAGTAGAAGTAGAAAGTCTTAAAGACAGTGATGATGTGAGTGTTGAATGTGATGATCATGATGATAGAGGTTTGTTAGATGGGGAGTGGAAATCTGAGGAATTAGTTGCTGCAACAGATAGTGATGAAGAGGTTAATGACAGTGAAGGTTATGGGAGGTTTAGTGTTTTTTGTATGCCAAAAAGTATGGTGGACTTTACATGGGAAGTAGGGACTTTTTTTTCAGATAAGCAAGATATTTTAGATGCTGTGAAAGGGTATGCCTTGGAAAATGGGAGGAATATAAAGTTTGTAAAAAATGACAAAAGAAGATTGAGGATGAAGTGCTTTGGTGCAAAAGGAAAATGCCCATGGACCATATATTGTGATTATATGGAGGCTGTGAAATCATGGCAGTTGAGAACTAAAAATGAAATTCATACATGCAGCAGGGAGTTCAACCTCAAGTTACTTGACGCCAAGTGGCTGAGCTAAAAGTTGGAGAAAACAATAAGGGAAAATCCTAAAATGAAGGGTGTAGATATTCGTGAAAAAGTTCAAAGGAAGTGGAACATAGGTATATCTAGGTCTATGACTTATAGAGCCAAAGGTATGCTTCTGAGCACATTGATGGGTCCTTTAAGGAACAATATAAGAGGGTATATGATTATGCACATGAGTTGTTGGGAAGAAATCATGATTCTACAGTTAAAATGCATGTTGAGAATAATGAGGATGAGGTAATTTTCAAGAGATTTTACTGTTGTTTGAAGGCATGCAAAGACAATTTTGTCTGTTGTAGGCCAATAATCGGATTAGATGGAGCCTTTTTGAAAGGAAAGTATGGTGGTGAGCTGTTAACAGCTGTTGGGAGAGATGGAAATGATTAAATGTTGCCCATTTATATGCGGTGGTAGAAGTGGAAAACAAAGATTCATGGTCCTGGTTTTTGAATCTTTTGATTGATGATCTTGGTGGTCATAAAGTATGTTCATCAATAACTTTTGTGTCAGACCAACAAAAGGTAATAATCATATTTAATTTGGTTTTTTCCTACATTAATTCATTAGTTATATATGGTCGTAACTGTTCTTTTTAATTTTAAAACCACAGGGTCTACTACTGGCCATACAAGACTTATTCCCTGGTGTTGATCATAGGTTTTGTGTGAGACACTTATATTCAAAAACTTT